CTACAACTGAATCTATTTTCACGATCTATGCATGATCCACCATTCAAACACGGATTACTGGCACATTCATTTACATCATCTGTTGGAAAAAAGGAAATGAAACGGTAATGGTGTCGGTGGTGTGACACGATAAATTGTTGGTATTACGTTTGTCCCACTTTTGAGTCAATTAGGGACGGACCATTATTATTTTGATGGGGGTTGAAGTTGGGCAATTTTCTGGAGCATGAAATTTTTTCACACCTTAAGGTCGAGCATAATTTTTTTTTTGGTGGGCATTAGCTTGTGCCGGAATATTTTTAACATGAAAAATCAAAATTATGACATTAGAAAGTACTTGTTCTTTTTTCTTATCGTGGCTTCCCTTGCACGATTGTTTTTTTCAGCAGTTTTTTCTGTACAGGATTTTTTTTTTTTGGAAATTGCTCAGCAGCGCTCAAAAAATAATAGTCCGTCCTTACCATTTGCATTATAAATGACACTCCCCAAATGTTAAAATGTCAATATCTGAAATTTTAACTACATTTGGCGAGTTTTCCCCCAGAGGTGTTCTACCCAGTTGCTCTTACAAGTGCAAGTTTGTCCATCTCCAAAGAAGCCAGCTTTACAAGAACAGAGATACGATCCAAGCAGGTTCTGACAAATAGCATTGACGTCACATACGGGACTTAGGCCATTGCACTCGTCAACATCTATCAAGGCAAGGAAATGCAAATCTATATATGAGAAGTCAGTAATGAAAGTGTCCTTAGTTAAGACTTAATCAGCAGAATCTAGCTTAAATCTGGCTTAACTGGGTTATCGATTTATGGTAATTCTGCAAACGATGATTACAAGCAAAATAACGGCCACCTAGCGAACAATGATTTTCAAGCATTCACTCTATCAAAAAATTGAAATATACTTGAAAAAAGTCGTCTGGATGTTTTTCAAGTTTCCTCGAAAGCAATCCATCTTGTCCAGTTTTGCCCATTCATGTCTCTTTGGCATTTGTTTGTTGTCAAGTCTAGTACATGTTTAAACCTTTTTTTTGTTTGTTCAAATAATTCTTGGATCAGTCGGTCATCGCTAAAGCTACCTAAAATTATGTGACCTAGCTGGCTAGCGTCTTAAATGAAAAGTGTCACCCTGTGATAAAACATGCGTCTTTTGTGAAGAATTCTACGAGGTGTAAATTCAAGTTATATCATGAACTGAAATTTTATTGTTTCATTGATTTTCCAGAGTTATCTTCCGTTGAAGCCCGCCTTCTTCATGATATTCGGCTTTGAATCGAAAGATAAAAAAAAACGAAATTGTAGGAAAAGAGAGAAAAAAGGGATCGCTTTTCACATGCAACATTCACTTATAAGCAGTTGGCATGCTTTCTTGCTCAAACTGAAGAATACATTAATTACACTTATTAATTACATTAACTGATTTTTTAGCATATTGCTGATCAAGACCGCTAATTTATGACGTTACCTTCCATGTCCATGTCACAATGCTTGAGCACAGATTTTCCTGTTTTATACTCGTCAAACCAGTATTTGCCACTGACCGCTTGTCCGCCTTCACTCGCCTTGATCTCTGTACAGGTTTCAGCTGGCAGCTCGGGAATTGAACCGAGAGGGACTGGAAAGAAAAAAGTCATATCATTTTTCCAGCCCTAGTCAGGTGATCTTTTTCATTATTGTCTCACCTCTATTCCTGACTCGTCTTAAATAATATCTGCCGGTGTTAGGCACGAAATCTTCAGGCCTTGCTTCCTTGGTTCGATTGTTGAGCTCACACACGGACTGAGAAAAGACGTAATTAAAACTCTGACACGTGATCTCCTGATGACACGCCTGTAAGCACTCGTTTCCGAATGATACATTAATTGTTTTAAACACGTGTCGCTGAAGCATCATCCACGAGATTGAATATTCCGTTCTGCCGCCTGGGCATTGTTGAGTGGCCGCTTCTTGAAATAATTCACCAACAACTAGTATAACTGGGAAGCAAAGAAGACCTGTAGTGACACCCATTCGATGGATGAGTTCACTTCCGCATAAGAAGCCTGAAATCAAAACATATGATATTGAACTAACGTAAGGTCATTATAGTTGAAATTTTGGACGTATTCGTTTTTTCGCAAGTTTTTGGCCTGAGCTGCTAATGAGATCCAAAAACTTGCAAAGAAAATATTCGACCAACATTCTTCGATACACACAATTATAATTAAAAATTATTCCGCGAGCGCGCGTTGGACATATAAACAGTAGCCTCCATTTGGCGCGATGAATATGCTCGGATATTTGTCCGCGGACATTATCTGTTCCGAGAGGCGAACAGTTTTCCGAGAGCGTAGCTCGAGGAAAACTGTGAGCTTCGAGGAACAGATAATGTCCAAGGACAAATATCCGAGCATATTTTCGCACCAAATGGAGGCTATTGTGTTTATTATCCTTCAAATCTTTTTCGCATCACGCGCAGTTTTGAAAATTGGGGAATATATACACAATAGCCTCCATTTGGCGCGAAAATATGCTAGGATATTTGTCCGCGGACATTATCTGTTCCGGGAAGCGAACAGTTTTCCGAGAGCGAAGCTCCGAGGAAAACTGTGAACTTGGAGGAACAGATAATGTCCAAGGACAAATATCCGAGCATATTTTCGAAGTCAAATGGAGGCTATTGTCAGCTGGGGAATATTCGGTCAGGTGACGCGTTTAGACCAATCGCGCGCGAGCGAAAATAATTGATGGATTATAATTAACAATTAGACCCGTAGCCCNAAAGGATTTGCATTAGTCCACTAGTTGGGTGATACTAATCTCGGATGTTCCCCAGTTTTAGCTGGGGAATATTCGGTCACGTGACGTGTTTAGACCAATCGCGCGCGAGCGAAAATATTTATGGATTATAATGGCTCATAACCATAATCCATAAGCCAGTGAAAGCTCTCGAATTGCATTATCTAATGACCCAGTTTGTAATAATGGTTCTTATAAAATTCTGCTGAGAACTGAAATCAAACAGCGTCCACCCGCGATCCATTCTCGATAAACGCTCGCGCTAAAGTAAAGCATTTATTTACGTTTTTATCGTCTTTGTGAACGTTAAGTAAACTCAAATTGCCCGTCAGACTTTTTGCATGAAATGTTCCTTAAAGAAAAGAAAAAGCAATCGCCGAGACTTTACTGGAAACTCGATATAACGAAGGTCCAAGACAGATTGGTAAATTCCTTTGCTATAACGAGGCTTCGTTATATCGAGGTTCTTTTTCATTTATTTTCCCTTTAATGGGGCGGGGAATATCGTTCGTTAAATCGAGGTTCCCAAGTAATTTGACAGTGGTTCCTCTTGGCAGCCCGGATTGCAAAAGATTGGACAAAAGATCCTGCACTGTATCTGTTTTGCAAAATATCCATTATGCATTTTTCACGATAACCTTTTGCATTCTACGAAAAAGTGCATAAGTTTCCGGAATTGGGAATCTAGGTCATAATTAATATGGCTCATTTTCAAGACATGAATTTAAAAACGTGTTCCAACTTAGAATCGGTGCAGACTGTTGGTGTCTTTAAGGCCAGGAGATTCTCCTGACTTTCTGAAGTACGAAGATTACTGCTTCTTTCTCTGAATGAGCTGTTCGTGAGTCCATCACAGGTTTTAACCAGCATTAGTCTGGATTTCCCCGGTATTCATTTATACATCTTATCGGCACTGCATGAGTATTACAACGTACGTCTTGAATTGCGTATGCCCAAGAGCACAACGCGATCGTGAAGAAACTTATGTAACTGACTGCACTCGAAATGTCGACTTACTACTCTCAAGGCCCTAACTATTGGTCCACCACATCGGTTTCATCAAGTAAAAACATTTTGTTTTTTCAGTCGTATATGTAAGCTGCAAGCTTCTGCATTGGCCAGTTAATCGAGAAAGAAGACAGAGAAGCTAGGTCGAAATGGATCTACCCTAAATAGATCTGTGCATTGGGATGTAAATGTAGAAACAAACAAAAATTAAAATGAAATCTAAAGTCCTGTTAGTTTGCTTCTGAACTAAAGTATACTAAAATCACGAGGGCAAAAAAAAAAAATAGAATAATGAAAATCAAAGAAGAACCTCTCTTAATCAGCAATTCTTTCTTGGGAAAGTCATCTCCCTCCAACTTGCACTTCTTTAAAATTCCCAAGTTATCTACTTTTGAAATGTTAACAATAAACCAGTTTATTAGTTTTCTCAGTTATGAAGAGCTAAGTTGATATCCAGTGGATCGAGAAATCTAATTGGTCGAGCTTATTACTTAAATTACGCCAAAAACGCACGAAATTTAATTAAAGAGGAAGCTTAAGCGAATTGTTCATTAATTTTAATATTTTTTTACAATCGCTTTACTAACTCAGTGGGTCATACTGCTGTGCATGTGTGCAGCAAAGCGACGAATCGTGTACAATCGATTAACATCAACTTTCAATGTGTCTTTTTTAGTGAAAGGGAGATGCAGATTTTAAATTCTGAATGTATTGACGGCTAAAGCAGAATTAAAAAAAAAAATTAAAACCACCTCAGGGCTACGCAGTTTCAGAAATCAATGGCAGCAATCAACGTTAGCCTCCTACAACGATTACGCTCAACTTTATTGACTGCACACTGTCTCTCTGTTGGACGGCTCTGTCAGAACCAATAAAAGGGTTAAGGCAGGGTTGCTAGAATGTTAGTTATAGTTAATTTTTCGGTGATTTCTCAGCTATCAATTAACATTTCAGCTCATTTCACAACCAAGTGATTTTTGCAGATCACAGATCTCGGCTGCCAGCCATTTCTTAACCGGCCATATTCAAGGTGAGAGACGATGATCGTCCGTCTTGTTCTAGGTTAGCAGCAAGCCTCATGCAGATCCTCCCATGAGGTTTTTTTGTTTCAGATTTATTAAATTTGTCACGGAACACTCGACTAAAATCGTCAGAACGATTATGTTAAGACTGGAGGTCGGGAGAAATTAAAATTGTTTACAATCTATTGGGGGGGGGGGGTTCATTTTATATACATGTGTATATTTTTGAAACTAGTAATAATCATTAATTGTGGTAAAGTTCATTCGATCTGTAGTAAAATGATATTTTTTATCGTATTGTTTACCCAGGAGTGTGGAGAAAGTGGAGTTGTGGGGCGCTCAGTCATGTAGTGTAATAAACAAGTTGCAAAGTTTAACACAACAAGAAGCTTTAATAACTCGACATGATGGCAATTAGCTTAACTTATGGCCGTGGCTAAAACGGTTACCTTCGGTTAACAAGTTAAATGTGGTGCGCACAAACGGATATATGCCTGTAGTCCGGTTCAGTAATAAATCCACTGAGTGGTATAAACATTAGCCTGAGTACCAGGACTTCCCAAGAGGAGGAGAGAGGGGAGAAGGAGATGAACGGAGGAGGTGCTTTTCTTCCTTTTTCCTTCTCTTCGTTTTTACTTGCCTTCTCCTTTTACTTTCGGAATGCCTGATAGATCCTGATACTCAGGCTGTAAAATAAAATGTTTGGTAGCTTATCCTACATTATTTGGTACACTGCAATATTAAATTTTTAGACAGCCGATATTAACATAACATGACATAGTCAAAACCCATGAGAAGCATAGCCATTGATAAAATCGTCAATGTGATGGTCTATTTTTAGAAAATCACTGGTTAAATGCATCTAGCAGTGTTGAAGCCATGAAATGGCTGCTATCATGAATTGCGCATATATACACTAGGTTGTGATGTCAACTTGAAAGTCTGGCAGACTTTTTCCAACTCTGCACTTGTCATGTTCGTTTTTTTTTTTAAACTTAAGACACTAAAATATAATCTCACGTGCTTTATTCAAGAGCGGAGTGCAAAATAAATGGTGAGACAGCTTAGTTTTACAGTCCAGTTACCAGTCCCATGACGACTGGAGTATGTTTTTTGAAAACATTTTCATACTGATTACAGGGTGATTATTCAATTCCAAGTGAGAGAGTAAGTGACTTGGCGCCTGCTGTCCCAGGCGTACAGCAGTCTTTCTCTGGGGTTGTAATCCACCATGGAGTTGTAGCCGTACTGGTTTGTGAACTGTATGTTTGGGTTCCACTGTGTTCCTGTCTTGGTGTCGTAAGCATAGTTGATGGTAGTGGGATTTTGATGGTAGCTGTCGATAAGGTAAATCACTCCACAGACTACAAAGGCATTGCCAATATACCTCATCTGTTCTGCTTCAAACAAAGAAACAAACAAACACGGGCCAACCCAGATATTTAAATGTTTTGCCATGAAGCTATGTTATATGCTATGTTATATTATTCCATTCCACGATACGAGATGTCATGCTTCGACAAGCTATGCTAAGCGATGCCTTGCCGTGATGTGCGGTGCTGCCTTGCCTTCCCGTGGCGTGACATGTCGTTCAATACAATACAACACAATGCAATGCCATGTTCTGTTGCACTGTGCTTCTCTGTACCTCTCTTTGTGCTCTATTTTGGCGACTCCGTGGGGCAAAAATTTAAGTGACGAGTAAAAGGGTGCAACCTGATAGTCCCTGATTGTACCCAGTAATTTATCCAACAAGAGAATTATGCACTCTGTATGTCAAGTCTTTACAATTAAATAATTACTTAATTATGAATGAAATTAGGGTACCTGGCTGCCTGGAATAGCCATATGGACTAGCGATGCCAGGCAGCCGGTTAATATAAAAATATAAATAAAGTACCGGAATGTAAGAGGTGTAAGTATAGCCAAGTAAGTAGTAGATAAATGTTGTACTGTAACTGCGATGTAAATACTGTAAAGAAAGGAATGTAACACAATTGTATGTAGGATGTTTCGTGTAATTATAACTGATGTAGGGAATGTAAGGCTTGTGTTGTAAGTATTTTGCATTGTAAGTAGTTTTTCTTTTCTTTTCGGTCTGTTAGTGTGGAAATAAATAAATAAATTTTTAAAAAAAATTTTAAAAAAATAAATTAGAGGTCGTCAGAACAGCACAAACTCGCACCATAAAGAAAAGACAGACACACACAAAGACAGAAGAAGAGAGAAAGACAACGTTTTTTCCCGAAATCCTGACTTTCTCTATCTGAATCGCTCTCGCCCGTCGTAGCAAATTACTACAGAAAACGTATTAAAGTGGAATTCCAGAGTTTAAATCACGTGAGAGGCTATACTTGGTTTGCTCGTTATTTTTACTTACCCGTAGACACACTGTAGCTCTGTACGATGGCGTCATCATCAATTTTAGATGCATACAGTCGTTTGTTATCCCCAGAATTCCCCCATAATACCCACAATCCCTTCTCGTCGACAGCCAGATCCACTCCACTGCGTCCTCCCCATTGGTAGTAGGTTTGCCTTGGTGTGTATCCGTTGAGAGTGATCTGGGCCACGAGGCTATTTGTGAGCAAGTTATACTTGTCGATATAGTTGGTATTGGCCCTGTGTTTGAGAGACACAACGCAGGAAATTAAAGCCATCAGTAAGATTCAGTTAGATGTAAACCTGATATTAAAATATGACAGAATCGTTCCTCCAAAGAACAAAGAAAAATTAATTTGGAATTCATTAATCAAGAACTATTGTGATTTCCTATCCAAACTACGTGGGTTTCTGAACATGAACAGTTGGCCACACCCTGCCTTTGAGCTAACTAAATGCAATCTTGAGCACCTTTAGCTATCGCCCGGTCAAAACGGCCAGGTCTCGGTTTGAGATTTTCCCGTAAAGACCTCACTCTTGGTTAATAAGTAGTTAGTAATTGCACCGATGATCCGTTCATCTAAAAAGATAAGTGAATTAAAAGTTTTAACAAGTGCAATCTGTTACCTGTTGTAATAGACGTACGATCCATACACCACCGCGCCTGTCCCGTCCCAATAATACGGAAGCGTGTACGTGTTACTCTTCACGCCTGCTTTGAATTTTTCCATGTTTTCAAACTCTTCGACTTTGTTCGAGTGGTAATGCTCCAGGACGAATATGGTGTCATTACCCATAACTCCTAGCGGGTCTTTCATCCAGGCTCCTTGTGTTTTCACTAGCGTGTTGTGAGTGACTGGACTGTCTATGGTCTTGATGGTAGTACAATTACTGACTGCGAAGAAATCAGCAATAGTTTATTACCCAAAAAAATAGTACATTAGACATGTTAGACAAGTAAAACTATCCAATCTCAATTAATGCTCTTTATAGTTTTTATGGTGAGTTTCCTCGCTCGTTTTGATGGGGTGAGAGCTACATTACGCTAGTACGCACCACACGTTCCCTTCCACTTATCCCGCATCGCCTTCCTTATCCCGCATCTCCTTCCTCCTTTTGCCCTTAGTCTCAGTCGTCCTCCTTGCCATCCTCTTTCTCTTCCTTCTCCTCCTCCTTCTTCTCCTTCTACTCCTCCTTCTTCTCATCACCTAGCTTAATGTTGTCGTTGTCATCCACCTCCTCCCTCTCTTGTGCTCCACCACCTACTTTTGCTTTTGCTTTTCCTACTCTTGTTCCTTCTCCAATTCCGCCCCTTTTGCCTTAAGTCTTGTGCTCCTGCTGCTCTTCGTTTTTTCTCCTCTTACGAATGCTTCTCCTCCTCCTCCTCCTCCCCCTCCTACAACTCCTTTTGCAACTGCTCCTCCTCGTAGTAATCCTGCTCTTCCTCCTCCTGTGTCAAGTCCTGCGCATCCCAACCCCTCCAGCTCCTTCACCTACTCCTCCTTCTGCTCCTCTTCCTTCTTCCATCTTCCAACTCACCTGCCACTACTACCCCTGCTGCACCTCTTTCTCCTGTTCCTGCTCCTTCCTATTCTAATGCTGCACCTCCTACCTCTCCTATTTCTCTTTCTGCTCATTCTTCTGCCTTACTTTTCTCCTATTCATTCTCCTGCTCCCTCCGCCCCTGTTCCTGCTCCTGTTCTTCCTACTCCATTTCCTCCTCCTCCTCCTCCTTCTCCTCCTTCTGCTCTCCATATCTCTCTCCATGTAGTTGCCTTGATTCGTCTGAAGTCCATGCAATCTAGTTTCTTAAAAATTTGCAATATAACACTTATTATATACTGACAGTTTTCACAGCAACTTCCAAAGTATCCCGGTTGACAGTTACAATCGAATCCATTCACTAGATCTGTGCATGATCCACCGTTCTCAAACTCATTAATAATTCATCATGTTTAAACAAAGGAACTCATGACCGTGACAGTGTTTGGATATCTGATCTTAATTAGCATAGATTTTCACGATTTTGTTTCACCGTTTTCTCCTTAGTTCTGGTTTCGATTGAGGAGATATATCAAACACGTAAGACAGTGTTTGACCACATTTCCAAACACCTCGAAGTTCGTCAAAAATACTCCGCTACGCGTCGTATTTTCAACTCTCTTCTCGGTGTTTGGAAATGTGGTCAAACACGGTCTTTCGTGTTTGATATATTACTTCAAACAGGGGTCACTTGAACACTCATTTACATTATCTGTAAAAAAAAGGGAAATGACATAGAATTCTATCAGAATTGTGGTGTGACAGGATCGAATAGCGGTATAACGTTTTGTCTCAGTTGTGACTCAATCATCACTTTTTTTCTATAATCGAAACTGCCACAAGTTAAAATGTCAAATGTATTTTTATAATTTCTTTTGACAAGTAGAATCGTTCTTGTTGCAGCTTAGATTGGTGTTTGGTTTATTTTTACCAAGCAGGGGATAAGTTACCGCTCTGACTACCTAGCTGGAGTTGTCCCTCACTAGACCCTGGTTCAACTCATCTGTCATGCTTGTAAATAACCAACTGGTCCGCCTCCCGGCAGTTGGGATTTTTAAGCCCATTATGTTTGTTTGAAATATTTGTTTCTTTCAGTTTAAGTGGCATACCTGAGAAGTAGCTAGTTGTAGCTAACCCCATCGACCACTATAAACATTTAACATTTTTTAAACGTTTTTTTCCTCTCTTCTCAGCGAACTAGACTAAGCATTCGGTTTTCCTGAGAGCTGATATCCAAACGCGGAGGACTTAATTTCAGCGGATTAAAGTATAACAACCTTTTACTGGTTAGGTTGAAGATGAATTAGAACTAACTATTTTGCGACAGCATAATCGATCATTATTAAATCCGCAAAACTGCAAGCACAGTTATTTCGCAGCTCCGAGGGTGAATACCGACTGTTTACGTTGTTCTGTGCTCTGTAACGCAATCCTGTCGCGCATTCCTGTTTTTCTTCACCTGACTTAATCACGTGCTCTAAAGCAAGGGACCCCGTCACTCCCCCCTTGAGTGGTCTACCCAGTTGCTCTTACAAATGCAATTTTGTCCATCTCCAAAGAAGTCAGCTTTACAAGAACAAAGATACGAGCCAGGCAGGTTCTGACAAGTGGCGATGGCGTGACATACGGGACTTGAGGTTGCACACTCGTCAATGTCTATCAAGGAAATGCAAAACATTCATTAGAGAAGTCATAAATTAAACTGTCCTTACTTTAATCAAGATCAGCTCTTATTCAGTTATTAAAAAGTCGTACGCCATTTTTGTGAGATTGTTCTACTCGTAAATGGAAGTTTAAAAGATTCTTGAACTGAAAACTTTAATCATGATTGCTCTATTTGTTTAACACTTTGACATCATAGAGGACTTTGCACAAGTGTTTTCTAGCCCTCTCCTATTATGTATTCTTGTCTAGCTTTGTCTTTGTCTATCAACTTTATTGGTCACAAAATTACAATATAATTAAAAGAAGAAAAGGACCAATAGGNCTTTGGGCAAATGATTGTGAGCGACGTAAGAGCTTTTCAAAGTACATCAAAAATGCAAATATTTGACCATCCGTCATCAAATTTCAATTTACGGGTTAGACGTATATTTTAGCATGTGCCGCATGACTTGACCTATAATAAGTTGAAGTAGATACAGAGCTGATAATTTCGAAATGTTCTAACCTTATTTGTTGCAAAGGCAGGTCCAAAGCCAATTTGACGTGTTTCTAGTCGATCTCTCACCATTCGTCGCACATAAAGCAGAAGTTTGCTTTTGTTTACACAAGGTTAACGTCCGATGTACATCGCCAACTGTCAACCTATTATAGATCGAATACTATGAATCTGTGACCATCTTTCTGCGCATATGAACAGCACTGCATTTAAGTCAAAAACAGCTGAGTCATTTGTAGATAGTTGCTTGCTTTGTACTGTGCCAAAATAATATGTTTGATCAATTGCTGACCACTGCTGATATGTCTATCAACTTTATTGGTCACAAAATTACAATATAACTAAAGAAGAAAAGGACCAATAGGAATTGTGCGAACGGGAAAAGTTACCCATGCGAGGCGCAACCCTAGAAGCTAGTAAGAATGGTGATAGAAAATCTTAAATTTGATAAAAATTACAATAAAATCTAATAATTTCTTATAGTTAAAAATTATAGTTAAATCTAATTAATTACAATGGTTTAAAACAAGATGCGGATAATATTAGTCACAGAAAATTAAGAGTGGTGGCAAGGGCAGTTACGGAAGAGGAACCAGGAGCAGGGCATGTCAATATCATAGGTAGTGTCCAGTAAAGTAAAATAAGTGGCGTGCAAAAAATATT